AATCCTTTGTGGGCATCCCACTTGAGATTGGGTGGTAGGCCCCCTTCTGTAGATCTCTCTACACAAACTTCTCTCCAACAAAATGACCATGGGCGGCCCATGGGGTTCAAGCACCTGCTGGGGAGTCGTTCAATTCAACCTCTCGCATCATTCCGTCTTCTACAGCGGAAATATCCACCGCTTTCCGTCTGCAAAGCTCCCAGATCCACCGAGTCCGCCCACCGAGTCCGTCCGCCCAGCCGCCCCGACACACGTCGAGGAGCGGAGCTTCTTACTGCGAAGTTCCTCTTGGATGGCGAGTTCCTTGTCCGTCTGGTTCTTCTCAATGGCGGTGTCCACGAAAACACCTTGGTTGGAAGCAAGGTGTGGGGCATGGACGGGGCAGGGAGAAAGGACATTGGAGGACCTTGGAGGACTTGGAGGCCTTGTTCTTTCACAATCTTTCACGACCCAATCGAACACTTTGTAGTTGAGACCTTCCTGCTCCTGCATCGACACCGGGTGGGGTCGGAGGCATGGCATATAGGCCCGTCACTTGCATTCACCACGGCGCCAGTGACAACATTCACCACGGCGAACACCGCAAAGGTCACGAAGAAAAGGAAAAGAGTCCTTGGGATTCATCACGGCGCTGCGCTCGTCTTGTGGGATTCATGCGGTGGAACACTGAAGAAAGACAACGAATGATCCAATGATCCAAACGGACGGAGGGAATGATCCAATGATGAAAGAATGGACACCTGCAGTGTACTAATCAAGGATATACTATTCAGGCAACTGGAACTACTTGCAAGCATCACGCTCAAAGTGGGTGCTGCCACGGAGTGTAGCATGAGGTCTTGATTCTTGATGCTTGCAGCGCAGAATCTGCTTGGCAATAACAACTGCGGAAATGTGTATGTGGACATTGTCGAGATCTAACGCCAACACGTCAACCAAACGATGCTCGCTGTTGGGTGTGCACCATCATTGTCCAAGTGGTTAACTTATAATATGAAGCTTCACTTGACATGTTCACCAAAAAAACGAACACCGGCGAGGCTTTCCCGGATGCTTCGCAAACTGGTTGATCCAATACTTACATGTTTTTGAGTCGTGCCACTTTGCAGGAAACAACAACAACAACAACAACAATTGAACGAGGTAATTGACATGAGGGTGGCTGAATCCCAGCATTGTTTCCAGGACATGCGCAGGGATCCTTACCACAACGAAATGAATGAATACCATTGAAATACTCAAAACAAACACCTGATTGAACTTCCGGTCTGCAGGGCTCAAAAACCAATATGATCTCCTCCCAGGTGCCTCATGCTGACCTCTTGAGATTCTTTGGGTGACCTCTTTGGAAGGCGACTTGAAAGCTTTCAGCCAGGGCCTGAGATGCCAGGCTCCGTTCTCCTGATCAATAAAGCGCCGACCACGTTGTGCAAGGCGAGTTCTCCCCATCAAGAATCACGCCAAGAATCTGGTACGGCCAGGCCAAGCGATTGAGGGCATAGTAATACCTTAGCCCATGCGCAGGGGACTCAGGGGACCGATGTAGGCGTAAAGCTTCGGTGTGTCCCTTCGAGTCACGAGTGGGTGGCACCGACTGGAGGCTGGCACCGACATGCACGTGAAACAATTCAGGAATCTCGTGTTTCTCTCGATTTCCGAAGTGTGATTGATCATACAGGATCCCCATTGACAATTCAGGATCCCTGACATTTGTAACAATCAGGATCCCTTGTTGTGGCTGATTGATCAACACCCCATCGGCGGATCGGCCGATCGGTCCCCAAACTCGCTCCAAAACCATCATCCAAACGGGTGGCTCAAAAGAAGCACCGAAAACGAAGAAAGTGGTAGTTCCAATAGGGATTTGTTAAAGGTGCAACTTGGACGTCTTTTTGGACCAAGTTTATTGTGTCTCTCCCTCTCTCTGGGCTTGCCAGTCGCTATCTCTGAAGAGTCTGACACTGACTGTAACACAGTCGTTCGGCTAACATTCTGGCAGTGAACAGCCCAAAAACCTTCAATGTTCGTCTGCGCAAAAGGCTTCGTCGCACCCTGTCGCACCCAGTCTTGTGCAAGTCAAAACTTCCATAACCCAAACACTCCATGGGATTGTCATATTTACCTACATTGGTGTGGCTTGAGGGGTCAATGTAGGCATATATGGCGCACATGGAGTGTCTGGGTATTATGTACATTGTTCAATTGACATCAATTGAGCAGTGTCAAGGAAACTGAGTTCTCGCTTGGAGAAGAGTAAAACTTTAGCCATTCAATAATTCATAATACAGTAATTCTAAAGCTACCGAACATGTTTCAAACCAAGACCCCAAACTGGTTCGCAAGTCAGTTTTGGCAATCTAAAGTCTAAAATAGTTTGGAACACAAAACTCAACCATACTCAACCTGAAAATCCACCAAAGCAAACCATTTGCCAGCTGTGCTGCACCGTCCAATCTTCACCACCGGACATCGAGCTGTAAAGCGTCAGGATGGAGCTCGACAGAGACCCGAAGTACCTGCAGTGGTGTCAAAGGACAACAAGGCCAACCCGTGCATGCCGTTCTTATCATTCTTCACCTTTAGCTCAGTCACTTGGACACTCATCACCACAACATCTGCAGTTCTCAGGTCTCAGTCCTCCGAGTCCTCCGACCCACCAGCAGAAACCACCCATCATCACCCATCCACCATCTTCCTCCTCCCGTCACGTGCCGACTCCATCGCCTCTTGAGTTCCTCCGTGCCCTCCGCGTCCGGGGGGGGACATCTCCAACTCCAGGGCCACGGCGGAGGTGAAGCTAATGCCAAAGACCTGACCCGTTTCATCGACCCGTTCCAAGCACCACAGCCGTGAGCCACGCACCCTCCGCGTGCGACCTGACCCGACGGTGGGGAGGGGCCAGGTTCGGAAGCTCCAGGTTTGGGCTCGATTTAAACCAATCCGGCTTTTTATAAGGGGTGACCACATGTGACCACTGGGGTTTTGCACTGGGGTTTTCCCACTCTCCCGCCCTCTGAGGGTCAAAAAGAAGTCGCCCCTAATGGAGTCGGGGTCAACAGGTCAACCCAACGCTTCTCAGGGTTTTTTGTAGGCTTTTGCGCTAACCCATGCATTTCCAGGGTAATGGGTTGTAGCAGCCCGTCTGGGGTGGATAATGATATGATATCAACATCCACCTGCTGGGAGTAGTCTCTTCCTCGCCATGGGAGCGGTCGGTAAATAGATCCGATGTTTGTGCTTGATCAGATTCATCCACATCTATTCGGACAGAGTGAGAATCCACATCTCGGTGAAGCACCTGGACCCCGAAACCCACAGAGTACCAAGGCACGTGCCACAAAACCCACCAGTAACCTCTTGCAAGGACATGCACGCTTCACGTCTTCTCCACATTGCATCTCTGTTTGGACAGGATTCACCACAAGGCTGCCTGGTTCACATGCAACCGTTGCAACTTAACCAGGTGAACGCCCACACCGCTCCACATCCCATCATACGGCCCATCTCAGTGATCCCCAAAGAGATAGACATCATGGCCAACACTCGAACTCCACCTCTTTTCCGTCTGCTTCGGCGCATGCCAGGGCGATGTCACGCGATTGAAACCCATGGCGAGAGGCATAGAGCAGCACACAAAGGATCATGATGACCCAAAGGAGGTTTCGCGCCTGAGATTCTCACGACGGTGCTGGCGATTCTGAACACATGAGACCCATCTAATCAAACGCACAGCTTTCAGATTTGCGGATGTCAGCAAAAATAGTACCTTCAAATCAGAAACAATGACTTTGGATCAATCTCGTCATCGATTCCCACGAATCAACAAACAGATTGCAAACCAAAAGCAGCAGTTGTGTGCACCAAGTTGATTGGATGCTCCAGCATGCTCCCCCTTTTTCAGCATGAAACAACCCCTAGGACCGCATGTTCGAGGAAGACCCCTCGCGGACGGACCGCATGTCCTCGCTGCCATGTCCAAGACCGAGTTGCTGAGCTCACAATTGAGGCCACCATCAAGCGAAGCTCTCGGAAGGCCTCCACCGACCGTCGAGTCGCCGAGTCGACGCACGCGGACGCGGACGGACGTCGACGCACGCGGACGCGCGCGCGGAGGACCGCGCGGGTGGTGCACGCGGGTGCGAAGGTGGTGATGCGACTGGTCGAGGTTCTGGAAGGTGAAAAGCAGAGTGCAGCGTGCACTCCAAACAATCATTGTGCTACACCCAAAAATGTCTAGAAGGCATGGACAGTGAGAATCAAACGGTGGACAAAACTTCTCCATCATCCCCAATGCCAAAACACTATTTTGGATTGGACTCTATTGGTTTCCAGTGTTTTGGAATTGAGGCAATGAGCTACTTTCAATCAAGAAAGGGTATCGGTAGAAGGGTTGGACCCCATCGGTTTTGCAAGGTGTTCATCAATTCAGCAATTCTTAAGGCGGCTCATGGCTCATGACTAAGAAGAATGTTTACCAAAGTATTGTCGGATGATCATGCACAACATGTTACAACGTGTTCCTTTGCTTCTCGTTTGAACCACCGGGATCTGGAGGAAACCACCTTCTGCAAATTCCCCCCCCTAAAGGGGGTCAACATATTCCAAGTAGCGTTGATTCCATTGATGTGCCCCCCCACGGAAAACATGTTCATAAAACACACCGAAGGGTAATCATCTTCAGCCCCTTTGGTTCCATGTCACCTGTCCCACAGTTCACGTACTTGAAGATGTAAAGGTGACGTTTTTGATCATGCCGCTGAATGATACTTTAACATGCAAACCGACACAACATCTTTCAAACTTCAACAATCACTGCCAGCACCACCCAAAGGGTAGCATATTCCATCCAATAACCACCTTTTGGATCCTTTTGGGTTGTGCTGGCGGGCGTTGGCCTGCTGACGGAAGAAGAAACCAACTAAGTTTGAAGAGTTCATGTGGTAACTTGCTTGGATTTCGCACTGGAGCTACGTCACACCTATCAGCAAATCGCTTATCTACCGGGGCTAGACTCCTCCTCAACCTGGCCGCCCTGTGCTCCCCAGTGCCGCCCCCAGTGCCGCCCACGCCAGCCCTGAGTCGGCCTTCAAGACTCGGATCACCTGACGATGACGAGATGTGACAAGATGACTCTTCTCGGGTCCCCCCGTCTTCAGCAGTTGGTCCATGTCTTCAGTCTAGGGGAGTCTGCGGCAGCTGAGACGATCCAGAAAGTCTGAGACGATCCAGGGAGGCAAAACTGTGTCTGAACGGCGAGCTTTAGGACCTCTGTATGTCAAGTTGTCTTTTGACAGGAGGTTATGACTTCATGACTTCTTGGGTTCTTGACTTCTAGGTGAGGTGGGTGTTGGCTTTTTGTACCCAAACCACCTTCCGGCCCAACAAAAACATCAGCTTCTCCAGTTTTTTACCTCCTGCGACCTCCCAGACTGCTCTGCCAAGGAACTCTGGCGATCCGAACCACCCGCAGCACGCGGATCATGCGAACCACCTGGGACGAACGGGCTCGGTAGAAGCACCGGTGATCACCGGTACACGGAAGAACGAGTGTGCGGGGGGGCAACTCTTTTGGACTGTTGGGAGTCCCAGTCCAGTCACTGCTTATAATTGCCCCGATGACTGCACCAGTCCAGTCCTGATTATAATCAAGATAGTCCAGTCTAGTCAGAGTCCCTATGAATATGTCCAAACTAGTTTGTTCCATCTTCGGCAAACTATCGCCCTGAAAAAACGCAGGTTGGTCATGGTTCAATCTGAATGATAGGGGCTTCCTTGCCTACGAGTTCTCAGCATGCAATACGACAAGTTCTTAAACAACCCACTGGCAGCTTCCCACGGCGGATCAAGTTCGTTGAAGGCGTCACTCCCCCCAAAAAATCCATCACCGTCTTGAAAGATTAGATTTGCTTGCCCACGGAGATCATACATATATACGACAATATGACAAAATCAGGGCTGTAAAAGACTTCAATTACAGGGCTGCAAAAGACTTCAATGAAACAAATAAAAACAGTGATGGCATCCATCGAGGCAAAAAAACACACACTGCCGAAGTTGATCTACCAGTATCACTGACCAAGAAGCCGTGAAGTTGGTCATCAGCACCGCACTCTCCGACCCGGAGAACATCATGGTTTCCGTGATGACCTGTGAAGGTTTCCCCGCCCAACCGCCTTCTGAAGAGGGACCCGACGCCGCGGTTCGAATGGGTTCTCTTGAGCTCGACCCCAAAGGCTTTCATGGTGAGTCTCAACTGTAGCCTTGTATATGACCATCTATACGATCTATATAGTCGCAGTGAAACAATCGAGGTTTGGTGAACACCATTCAATCAATGGTGGTTGGAATCCTATAAGGTTGACATTCGTCCTTTGCCAAACAAAGATCACTGCTCTTCCGCACGTGCTTCCTCGTTCTAAACAGCTCAAAACGCACGACTCGTGCTTCGGAATCCCACGCACTCAGGCGGTTGAAAGAGCCAAGATGGGAGGACCATCGAACATCGACTGCCAAAGTCCAAAGCACCAACACTCTCTTTCTTCCAATAGCTTGGAACACCTCGATTGCAGTTCGGTTTGCTCGGAAGAATCGCAAAGTTCCAAGTTCACTCAGACCTGTTGGTTCACCAATTCCAACAAAACACGAAAGCACTCGCCCTCATCAGCCAACGCCAGCGGCCTCAATTAGGTTGAAAGCCACCACGAAAATGTCCAAGACGTTCCAATACATCTCCTGTCAACCAAACCATGCTGCCCAGAGTGAGAAGTTGCAAACTGGTGTGGCGAGGGCCGGAGTTCTGTTGCTCCTTCAAGCCTTAAACCAACAACAAATATCCCAAAAGAGAAACTGAGAACCTGAATGAAGTGCATCACTCCGCACAGATTCTGCAAAAGCTGGGTGATGTTCTCAAACATCATCTAAAAGCTGGGACGGTGTTTTTGTTTTTTTTCTGCGCGCCTCATTGCAAACAAAGTAGATGAGGCCATCAGCCACCCAGCGGAGAGCCAAATCCATGAAGAAAGCCAAGAAGAACACGATCTGCGCTACCTGGGCACAGTGTGTTGGGCAGTGCCACCGTTTACCAGTGAGGTTCTGAAGTTCACCAGGATTGCTTTACAAAAGTTACTAAAAGGCTACCAGCTAACCTAACTCGGAGTGTGAGGGGGGCACTTCACACATTGAGCCAGGCGGCCAAACCTTTCACCAGGGTTGTTTACCCAAAACGCATGTGATTCATGAATCGCGGTTGATGTCCCAAAACATCCATCATGTGCCACCAGATGTGCAGAATATAAGCACTGATGGGGTTGATATGATGTTGATATGATGATCTGGCAAATCACCGGGCCCCATTTGCCCCATGAAACATACCCTGCAGTATAATGTTGATATAGCCTTACATAATACAATGAAATATAACAAAACATCATAAATACAAATACAACTTAACCCAATTTATCAATTGTCCTAAATCAATGGCATCTTTCCAATGTTGCAGCGCTCGTGATGATTCTCGTTCTTCCCTTCCTATCCTCCAAAGTCCCGTCCTGTTTTCAATTCAACCCAAGGGGGGGGGAATTCCATCCAGGGGTATCAAGGGCATCTGAAGAATCCTCGCCTTGTGTAAGATCAATTGGTCACCACTGCACAGCGTGTCATCCCTGTGCTCAACATGCTCAACTACTGTATTTGGCTTGGCTGACTTTTTGGGATTGTCAACGGCAAGAGGGGCGTCTTGACTGTATTTATAGACCCGTTTTTTGGTGGAGGAGATGGATGATGTTACTATGATGTGATATTTCTCGCGCACGTGTTGTCCCATGTTGTCCCCCAACTTCATTCCTTCAACCATGAACGACGGACTCCATACGCCGTCTCAACGCCGTCTAGCTGCGAAGAAGAACGTGGGCTCGAAGCCATCCTGCGACGCGGGTTGCCGCACCGTGGAGGCCGCGTATTCCTGCGCGGAAGACAACCGAAACGGTCGGGCGGCGGACGGAAGTTCCCCAAAAACTCCCAGTGGTTGAAGCGCAATATAGAGACCCCCACTTAGATAGATAGAAAAGCAAATCCACTAAAACTAATGTATTGGAAACCATGCCCACTCTCTATATATTTGGAGACCTGCCCAGTGGATGCTGATCAAACGGGCGAACGGGCATCTTGTCCAAGCTTCGGTCTGCCAACCCACAAAGATGGCATTCAGTAGGATCAAAAGGGCACCTGATGGCACGGTTGAGGCGGCTTTGGAATGGAACACGGAAGACATGTTTTGGGCGGGCGGGTGGAGGGCGGTGGAAAAAGCCTGTAAAGAAGCGAGAACAACCAAAGGAAATACATGGAAATACAATAATTACACGCAACCCGGAAAGAAACAGAAAACACACAACGAAGCACCCTCCAGGGGGAGGAACGACAGGGCCAAGAAATTCATTCACCGAGGTGCTTCATTCACACGCCCGTCGAATCGACTTCGACTCGTACAACGTGCCGAGGGGCTGTACAACTCGTAGCAGGAGCTATAGACCACGCGCTGCGTCCAAGACTGGTAGGTGGAATGCTCATCTTGGCTCCTGGTTGAGCCATCCACGAGAAGATGGCTCCACATCGGATGGCTCATCCACTGAAGAAATAAGTTATGAATGTAAACTCTTCATTGCTCAACCCTCCCATTTGAATTGAAAGACCTTTTCATTATGGGGGGGATTTGTTCATCAACAGTGTAGGTTCATTAGCAGAAGCACTCGAAGACTCAGCACACCAACTCAAAGGAAGCACTCCAACCAAGGGGAGTGCTTAGTGCTTAGTGGATCTTTAGACCTCCTTCCCCCGGCCACTTCGTGGCGACGATCTGCTATCGAGCCACTTGATGATCTTCTTGCGTTGAATCTGCGTCTTCGTCCTGGAAACAGCCGGAGAAAACACATTTTTTTGGGGGGTAAGACACATGTAAAACATACGCGGGTTCAAGGTCACTGCTGCTGCCATTGGCAGTTGTGCAGCCCTGCCTTTTGATAGACATGGCCCATGCGACAAAGCTTCAAATCCTGCTGGGCATGGCTGCAGCTACCGCCCCTCAACCTCATATGACATATTAGTCCAGCCCAAACAGGCCTGGTTCAGCCCTGGTTCTCTCCAACCCTAGCAATTTGAGACCCTGATCATCCATCTGCGGATCCGATTCGGATCACTTTTTAGGAGGTTACACGAGTTCGTGCATGTACTTTGCTTCCTCTCTCTCTCTCTCTCCAGGGACGCCCAATCAAATCTGCACCAACCCCCAGTCCTAGCATAGGAGACATCCTCACGCCTACAACATGATCGTCACAGGGAGGGGCAGGAGAGGGGCTCCGAGCTGCAACAATGAGAATATGAGAATACAAGAGGTTGCGCTGAAATATTCACACAAGGTGTATTACTACGTATATATATATATATATACTATACATTGACTTGATTTATAAAAAAAAAAAGACAATCAGGATCATGTCAATTTCGACCTATCTCTCATGTATCTCTCATGCCTATTATTGAACTTTAAAAAGTAGGCTCCCTAGGTAGGGGGCAAACCTTGATGCACTGCAAACAAATAAGAATCAAACATAGTCCATTTCAAGTCTTCACCTGAGAAATTGCCAAGTGGTGTGGCGAGTCGCGTGGGCGATGCCACCAACTAATCTGGAACCTGAGAATATCCAGGACAACATACCTGTCACCGAGAACATCTGATAATATCCAGGACATCTGATAATGAATGCAACAACCCCCCAAACCCTACACAACTGGAGCGCCAAGAAATGAGAGGTGGGTGTACACTTACTCACTCCTTGGGAATTATCCCTTTGAGAGGGCAGGTGATTGACCATCCCTCCTCATTCTTCAGCGAACACCCGGCCTCGGCGAGGCTTCCTCGGCAAGCAAGTGGTAGGTCTACAAAAGAAACACAACCTCAAATTAAAGTCACTATGGTACTTGAGGGTAGCATTGGCTTGGTCCCTTGAAATCTCGATGAAGAGTGCCTTTTCCAGTTTCAGCCAGAAATGAACATAGTCTGGACTGGAGCCACCTTACATGCCTGCAAGTCACACACCATTAGTTCAACATGCCTCGCCAAGCACCACTGTTTGATAGTGCAAGTGGGGGCTCCAAATGTCACATCACCGGGCTCGCAATGTCACATCGCTCAGTGTCTCCGCCGAAAAAACATGGCAAACCGCGAGGAGCTGGCGCTCGCGGAGACGCATCCATCACAAACCCCTGCGTGTGTTCAACACGAGGTCCCCTACTTCTCCCGACCTGAATCATTCATATGCTATGACACTCCAGTGGCAATCCGGTACCATGGACGATGCGACGACGATGTTCGGAATCCTTGTCTTGCTGACACCGGGCCGTTTTTTCTGGAAAAGAACGATTCACCCTTTTTTCCAGCTGTTGGATTCGTGGGGCGCCCCCCAATTTTGCCAGAAAAGGTAACAGGGGAGGTGATCCACTTGTCCTAAGTAGACTTGGGAGAGTTTGGAGGGCGCCCAAGTGGTGGTACTTTCCGATATGGGGACGCAAGTCATCCCCTGAAAGCCATTGTAAGCCCAAGTCGCCCGTGAGTCCGGCTCGTCACCTGCCCAAAGGCACCCTTGTGAAGGGACCGAAGAAGCCACCCTCCCACAAAACATGGAAGCAGCACTGACCGCTGGGATTTGGGGTGTGAACTCTCATTGTGCTTAGGATAAATATACACTCCCTGGAACTAACATGGAAGTGGAAAACCACCTGTTTGTGGTGGAAAATGATCTTCCAAGGGGACATTATCCACTTCCATGTTAGTTCCAGGGGGGTGTAGAAAGCAAGGTCTTTCTGTTCCAACGTGCATCTCCTGAACACCAGCAAGCATGGTTGCACAGGGAGGCAAAGCTTGCCTTTGAACGTAAACAGTAAACAAGTATTACACCACTAGCAGTATTACAGCTTACCAGCAGTCTGTCGTGCAAAGATTGATAATTGTCTCTTTGTGTGCAACCGGCATAGGGTTGCGATGTTTGCCCATGGAGAGGGTACAGAGTCAAACAATGCGAGATGAAAAGGTCTGATCCATGCACCCGTCCCAATCTATCCATCGTCCGTCCCATCCCTGCAATGATCATGTTCCCCCAACTACTTTTGGACCCTTGGATCATTTTGGACCCTTGATTGCATGGAAAAACCTTTACACAATCAACTGAAACTATGAATGAAACATTATCAAACCAATTGAACAGGGACTCTCCAAAGGATTGCTTCTGCTTTCTCAGAACTAAGCTGCCTTTGTGTCTGGGCTGCTCCTGCTTGCTTTCTCCAAATAGGCCCTCCCCAACACGACCTCCACTCGCCTGAGACAGAGGTGCCACAGCTGCGGGGAGACTCCAAGGGCATCACCGCGGTCAACTGTTCCTGTTCCTTGTCCTCCTGCATCCAGCAGCTCGGCTTTACAGTGGGGGCTAGGGAGGAAGCCCCAAGGGGTTTTATAGGGGGGGGTTGTCTCTGTCCACTGCTTTACAGGTAGTGGCATTGAGAGGTATTCATACTTTTCGAAACCAAACCTGCCTGTTTTCACACTGCTCTACGACGAAGGATGAACATGACAACTCAGAAAACAGCACACGCCGTAGATGGGAGCTCCAGCCAAGGAAGGCTCCGTTGAAAACTGGGAGCTCCAGCTGGTGCAGTAGCTAACTCTCCGAGATGGTTTCAGAAGAGCTCCCTCGGAGCTCTTCTGAAATCGCCGGAGATTCTTGTTGGAACAGGGTTCATTCCTCGGTCGGGGCGTCATGAGTTGGTCCTTGGAAGAATGAAAGAAGGTGTAGACTGGGTAACTATGGTAAATGGTGTGATGAATCCACCGAATGGGGAGTCGACCATGTTTTGTCCTTCTGCTCATAGCCAAGGGTCGGGTCCACCGCGGCAGGTCCACGCGGACCCGACCCTCTGGACCCTCGGACCGACTCGTCGAAGGCGAGTCAAAGCTTCCCAACCAACCTCTGGAGCGCTTCAGAGATCCACTTCCGGACCAACCAACCTGCGGAGCTCTACTTCTAATAAGGACCACCCCCAAAACATCCCAAAACACCATAACAGCCCGCAGCAGGAACCGCCTCCGCAATAGCACCTGGCACGGGGATTGGAACCAAGCGGGTGTTTGGATGCCGGTGGGATGGGCCGATTTCGAATGGCTAAGGTCCGTCCAGGTGTTCAAAACCTCTGTCTGGCGTCCCAATCAAGACCAGCTTGTATTGTTGGTGTGGGTGGGTGCCTGGGCCAAGAGTAGCAAACAATATCAGAAAGACATATGTAGAAACCAAAGCCTAAAAAACGACTCACAAACAACTTTAACATTAAGAAAACATGGTCTCGAATCTAATCCTACAGGGCCTCTCGCATATTGGTGTGATACCCCTACACCATGATGCTCCTTGCATGTCCTCATACATGATGCTCATTGCTACATCTCCATATTATCAATCTAAGACGTCTAAGACTTGACGGAACGCCCGCAATCCTCACGTCTGCTGTGCAGAATCGAGTTGATGCTCGACATGAAAGAGGCCAGCTATGGCCAGCTCTTTCTTAAACATAGAATTCATATGATCAAAGAACAGGCATGACAAACCGATGGCCATGTTCTCTCTCGGCTTTGCGAAGTGGATTCGAAGCATCGCGATGACCTCGCATCCAAGAATCACCCAAAAACACCCGCCTCTCGGACCCTTTGGAACAAATAGCTTATAACCTTAGAACGAACATCCCTCATACTGATACTGGATTGTTTGTAACATGCTGTAGCATCCATTGGAGGCTTGTGGATGGCTTTGCTCTGTTTTGGGAGCTCATCTCGGCTCCGCCGCCGGCTCCGCCGCCCGCACCACCCAGCCCACACCGCCTGGAAGCTCTTCTGCTGGGAAGGCCACCTTTGGTGGAACTTCCTCTGGCAACTGCGGGCCCTGCGGATTTGCCATGTCGATGTGGCGGAGTTCGGTGCCCACGGTGCTGTTTTCGGGGGACGGCAGTGACCACGTCCGGTGGGTCCGGTGGGAGGGTTCACGTTTCAGAACACCGAGATCAGAAGTGCCGCATCTGACTCAACCCAATCGATACAGTGACCTAGGTAAACAAGTAATTAATTACATGGATTCCCGATTGCAATGGATCTACGTACTTGCCATTACTTGCCCATTTAGGTAAAGCATCTGAGTCTCGCCCTCTAGCCCGGTGATGCCCAGTGCCACCAACTACCCTGTTCTTATGTTCTTTTAGTTTTTCACTCAGTGAGCTCCACGGAACTTGGGTGAGCTCCTAGGCGAGGAGCTTCCCACGTGGAGTGGGGACATCTGGACCTCTACAAGACATGCGCCCACATGCAAAGCAGCGAGTGAAGTCAGCCAAAACGTCCTTCGCTAACATGACGTTGTAGAAGAGCCAGTTTAGCTCGGATGAGCGGCATCTACCTGGATTAAACAAAAAACACAACAACAACCCTAAGGACCTCAATCCGACCTCCGTTGTTCCTTCCATGTTGACATTCCCAGCGACACTCCCCCAATCTCCCCCATCCAGTGTCAAATGATCATACCCTCCAACGAAAACACAAACCTACACACAATTACACACATACTCTCTCTCTCTCTCTCCTCACTTCTTTCCTCCCCTCCAACGTCCTCAGGGACCCAAAACCACCGCCTTGGAGCTGCTCCGAACACCCGACAAACGCGTCAGCAAGCACGAGGACTCCCTCGGCGTGGCATCCGGGTCCTCACACCTGGCGGGTCGTGGCATCGATGCTCACGGCGCAGCACAGGGGAGCTCGAGTGGGTGCGACTAAGCCCAAGGCCCAAGGTAAAGCATGCGGGTTACGGCTGGAGCATGGGACGGGCAGGTTTCGGATGTTTGGGATGATGGTGGATGCGATGTTTCTGCTTTTTTGAGTGGCTTGGCTGATCTGCTATGGCTGCATTCTTGGGGGAAGGAAAATTCCAGAAGTCGTCCATGGCCCACCAGCTTTCCCAAACTTCTGGGAGTACGTAGGTGTGTCAGCACCAGCATCCGTACGCGCCGCCAGGGCATCGCAAGTTATTGCCGGGCCACTTCAAGCGGCTTTGAAGGCGCTGAAACACCAACTCCAGCTCTTGAGCATGTTTCCTTAGCTGAAGAACAATATAAAGTACGTGAAAACAAACACATTCTGATGTTTCCTTTGCCCACTCCTTCACCTGTCCACAACAGGGACCTTTTTAGTCAAAGGGACTGTCCCTAACATCTGTCCACACTAGGTGCCTCTGCATCTTTCTCCACCGGACGTGGCTTCGCCCGGACTCCGGTCGTCACATGAACAACGGCACGCCCGGAATCGGTTCCGACTGCACGAGGGTTCCGCAGGCGCGAAGAACGGCAACTCCCAAGCTGCAACTGCTCCGGATTGCCAAGTGTCTGCAACAAAACGGATACCTCCCGAGTTGCTTCGTCCAACGCACTCATGGCCATGGCCACGAGAGTGCGCCCGGTCCCGCACGCGAGAACGCCGCTGGAGGGGAGGTGCCGAGCCCGAAGCCTCCGAAACCAACAGGATCAGGATCTACAGATTGCTCTCTCTGCCTTGGTTGTTCTCTCTGCCTTTGATCAGGATCTACAGGAACCACCTCGGTCCACTGATTGCATGCTTGAGCCAGGCACCAACGTGTTCAGCTGAGAGAGGTGTCTTTTTGACCAGCTCCGTCTGGAAAGCAAGCATTTGATAAGAGCAGGATTTGGCAAAAGGCATCACTTCGCAAATATGCGAGCTTTGAAGTGATAGTCTGTTGGCACCTCTCCCACACCCTCGGTCAAACAGAAAACTTTGACAACTATATAATCTATATAGATTTCTTTTACATCTACGAGGTTGACTCCACTCTTCGTTTTTCAAGAAGTGAGACAGTCTCTTCTCCGCAAGAGCCGGACACTCTTTTTGAATGATATACTCCTCAGGAGTCGGGTTTCTCTCAATTCTCCGAGCTGTCGCTCTCCCCGCCCTCCTCAGCAGCTGGCGCATCGCCTGATTCTGGCGCAGATGTGCGCTGGCCAGGTGGCCAGTGATGCGCGCCGAAAGTCGCTACAAGTGGAAATGGACGAAACCTGAAAAACCAAAAGGAACGCTAACATCAACAAAATACAAGTTAATGCTCTTGGGGCAACAAGGTCTTGACACCTCCTAATTCTCAGGAATCAGACTGGGGGGGCTTGCATTTTTCAGCCCAACAAGAAATCTTGATTCAAATCCCTAAGCTTGTGAACTAGCTCTGGGGATATCTTGGAGCCGCGTGCTGCGGCAATTTCTTCCAGGAAAAGCTCACAGAAGCTGTCCGTCCAGTCCTGCAGCTTCCTTGGGCTTCTCCTGACCAAGAGGGGGGTGGGTTCATATGGTGCACGAACATGTGGGTGTTGTTCTACATGCGGATGGGAGGAAAAAGAAACATGGTGGATCACCGCAACACGTGACATGTGTTGGACATATATTAAATGCATGCATATTAATAGTTTAATATCTTCCACATATAGGGATGCTGTATCTGCAATTTGCAGAGCGAGGGGAAACGATTTCTTGCTGGGGTAAGGTTATATACCTGAGGAATGATCATTGACAGGGTATTTGGAAACCACACGTTACACGCACAAAATCATATGATGGGTCAAAGCAGGGAAACCATGCTGATACAACCTTGTCCATCTCCATAAAGTCTTTTGTTTGGTCAACCGTCCACATTATCTAGACCCCCAAATAAGATAGGAGAAAATCATCATAAAATCTATTGGACACCGTTTCTATCATTTCTATCTATTTGGGGACCGGCATGCCACTGTGCATGCCACAACGTCTGAGTCTGACGGAGAATCCTCAGTCCCGGCCTCAGCCTCAGCTGCTTCACCTCAGCTGCGCATTGCTTTTCCAATGGTCTGTGTACCAAACAACCATTGTCTTAATCGGGTCTATGCTTACAGAGGGTGCTGGACTCGGACTCAGAGTCCCACCACTCACATCCCTCGGACTCATAGGTCCCGAGTTCTTCTATCGTGCACGAAGAATAACGGTGTTTCATCTCGTTTGGCGCTCAGCGAAAGGATTCTGAAGGCCTGGCCTCTCTCTTCAGCAGCCTCTCCTCTCCCTCCTTCTGCCTGCAGCATCTGCCACGACTCTTTGGTGAATGTTTCTGGTTGAATGTCCCTAGGGTAGACGTCTCGCGTGAGCCCGAATAGGTTCTGACCATTCTGAAGAATCCCATATATGATTACTCTCCCTAGAACTAGCATGGAAGTGGAAAACCACCTTTTTGTAGTGGAAAATGGTCTTCCAAGGGGTCATTCTCCACTTCCATCTTAGTTCCAGGCAGTGTACTCTCTCAAGCTCAATGATGAAAGGGTTGGATCTCAGTGGAAGGGGCTTGATCACATCTATCTGGCACTTGGCAATTGGCGACTCCACAGTCTTCCTAAACCCGGTCCCTCTGCGAAGCGAAACACGCCGCACATGTGTTCCCGCACCTCGGCAGCAGCGGCCTGAGGAGTCTTCCAAAGCGTCCCAGGAGTAAGAGAACCGAGGAAAACATGAATCAGGACCCCCGCCCAAGATCCATTAGTCCTTAGAGTCTTAGAGGTTGAGGGGTGTCCATTCGCACGGTCACGGGTCCTGGCATAGCCACCTGAACTCGTACCTCGCCAGTCCGAACGATGACAGTGCCCCAACGTGTCGACACAAACGCTCCCGACGTGCTACGTGGTCTAAGAATGACGTCGTCTATTAATCGTGTTCCTCGCATGCAAAAGCCGGCTTCAGGCCAAGAAACCCCCATAAAGGCTCAAGGTCCAAAGAGCGATCATTCATGGTGCTGAATAGGGGATCATATATATATATATATAGTATATATGGGTGTGGCCAGAAACCCTGGTATGGATTGTTCCGCGCTGCAGTGAGAGTGATCCAAACCCTATGGATCAGAGCGCTGATCCAAGCCCTATGGATCAAACCGACAAGTCACTTGATCCAAGCCCCCGACATGAACACATCTGCATGGTGGCACTTCACCCACCACTTTCTCACCAATTCACTGTGAACTGTGCAGGTGGTGGCTTCCCAGATCAAAGCCATCCTGTTTGTGGCAAGCCTGTTTTGAAGTTCTGGCCGCTGTGAATTTGGGCTCCACTGTCCTCATATTGGGCATGGTTTGGCACTGAGCGGCGGCAATGAGTGTTGGGGCACATTCTTCCTCCAACTCAAGCACACGATGCAAGAAGCCCAAAAAGGCCATCAGCTGGCCACGCATATTGGTGACTCAGTGGGCTCTCAAGACATTTAACAGGTGGTGGCTTCAGCTCTAGATTAGAGGCTCGCTCCGAATACTGGTTAGTGGCTGCCGCTAATTCTGTTTGGCCTTAATATTGTGTTCTAGCACCTTCTTTAATATGGGATATTTGGGTTGGATTCTGCACTCACAGGGTTGCATAGCCTAATGGTAAAAGCGTCGGTGTCCAATTCTTCACTTCCACAGTGTGAGGGTTCGAGTCCCCGCTGTGATCACACTTAGAGGCTTCCGGTAATTAATTTTTGGCTGGAATGGGAAGTCAATTTGAAGTTGAGTCTAGCGGCTTCCGCTAAATCTGTGGCGATGGTAATGCTGGTGATAGTGGTGAGTAGCAGTGGCAGCAGCAGTAAAGCTGTTGCAGGCAAGTGCAGTGGCAGTAGCAGAAGGAGTTGTGGCAGCAGAGGTGGTTGTAGTAGTGGTGGTGGTGGTTGTGTGATCCAAGGGCTTGGATCACACACCCACCTTTTGATCCATACCCCATGGATCGAGGTATGGATCGTGTGTGGGTTTGGGTGTGTGATCCAAGCCTTATGTTTCTGGCCGTAGCCATATGTAATCTGATGGACTTTGGGAGAGGCCTGGAAAAGGAGGGCCTTTGAAGACCGGGCCATCTGTATATCTATATACAGGGAATGGTTTGACTGTAAATACCTTAGGATCGTGCGGCAGAATGATTCCACAAAGCTCCACGCTTCGCCCCCCGAGTCTTCTCATATACCACACGGACCCACAAACCCACTTATGAGTCTCTGCACCTGCTCCTGCTTGAACTGCATGCGCAGTGTGGCGATCTTCTTCTTGATCCCCGCGCGAGTGGCATCCAACCTGAGCCCGGTCCCAAGGCGAAACACATCGGTCCACTGGAGTGAACTTGGTGAACACGTCACCAAGTCATGGTAGCCACTTGAGAGACGACAACCGACTAACACATGGAAGTGGATAGAGTCTAGAGCCTTGAAGGACTAGTTAGGTTTGTTTTTTTCTTTTAATGGACGTGGTGGTTGCATTCCGTCCCAAAAGGGGTGGAACATTTATCACTCGATGCCGGTTCTGATTCTTTTTCTCATCCAGTTTCTGTGAATCGGACCTTCATCTACTCAAAGTGGGGAGCCAAGAAACAGCACCATATCACAAATCTGACTGTTGACACCTGCAGCTGCACTTTGGACCATTGGTGCTTGCAATTAGGTGATCTTGACATGTTCGACGTGTTTCACAAATGCATGAAGCTCACTTCCCTAGTGACAAGCACTTAGGGATCCGCCAGCCGCCATCCCATCCTATCATGGTGGGAAATGTGAACTAACTGTGCATACTGTATATAATTGCAATTACTATATTGTACTAAGTGTGTAATTGTTTCCGTTTATATCATAGCTGGCACCTCCCGCAGGGACTGAGAAAGAACACCCTTGGAAGCTGCGGTTTGGTGTCACACCCTTTGGTGACACCCACGCCATGGCTCTCAGGTTGCCCCCCGCCAACAAGTGCTCCACTCCAAGTGACATCTTTTCGGTATCCCGCGTGTGCTTCGCCGGCAGGAAGAAAATCGGAGGCTGCACCTGGAACCACATTCCAGGAAAATGGACGGAGGCGGCCCTTTCCCAGGCCTACAGGTCTTACGGACCTCATTTCACTGGGTCCTGCAAAAAAGAGTATTTCATCAGGTTCAGGAACAGGTTTGACTTGGTCCTTTGGACTGATTCTGCTTGTATTTAAGCATGCAAGGCAACAAGAACAAAAGTGGTCAGTAGGATTGGATCACCCATCGTCACCTCGGGGAACTCTTGAAGAAACCTTGATGAACTACCTTGGAGGTGCCCCCTGGGCCCTTCAATACCAGCCTTTAACGCTGATGAATGATCATATTATTGGTAGTAATTACTCGGATATATCTATCCAACCAAACCAGATTGTACAACTTAACTATATATTCTCAGGGCGCTCGAGTTGAGCAAAGCGAAAGCGCTCACACCCAATACCTCAAGATTTGCGCCTCCACTTGGAAGATTCCCCACACATGTCAGTGCACACCAACAGTGTCGGCTCTTCAATGAGTTGTCCTGAAGTTACATTTGGCTGTGGGTCAAAGCTACGATACCTTGATTGACCTACGAAGGTCAAGCTACATCGTTGAAACTCCAGGTTTTGACGAGTCACCCATTTGAGGGTTTTTGGGGGGTCGAAATTGTACATGTTGAGACCTCCCCTGCCCAAAACCAAA